CGACCACCCCCCCGACCTGGAAGACTCCATGATTCACTGTGTGTGTGTGTGTGTGTGTGTGTGTGTGTGTGTGTGTGTAGAATGGAGCTCCTGCCACCTCGGAGAAAACGCAGTTTGTGGTGAAGGGTTGCAGTTGCGTCTCCTGAACTGTATTCGCAGCGATGGGAGGATGGTGGAGCGGTGGAAGTGTGAGCAGGTGACCTGTCAACCGACCAATCATCCGTCAGTTCATTCATGTCTTCATTAGAGCCCAGCTAATTCATTACTCTGAATCAACTCAGTGTGAATGGTTGTTGTGTGACGTTAATAAAATAATAATAATAATGTTGTTACATATATTAAATATATGAGTGAGTGACTCCGTAGTTACGGTGGTTGTGAAGCTGGTTACATATATTAAATATATGAGTGAGTGACTCAGTAGTTACGGAGGTTGTGAAGCTGCTGGGACAGATGAGAAGATTCACTTTGGTTGAAGAACATTTCTGTTGAAAACATCCACAGATGATTTGAGCAGGAACTTCAACCTGAACCTCATCGTCCGGCTCTGACCTGATCACCGCTCTCACTTCGCTCTCCTTTTCTGCAGTTCGGTCTGACCGACACGTGGACGCTCTCCCGGCCGTGTGCGGTCGACTGCCCCGTCAGCTGTTTGCTCTCTGATTGGTCGCCGTGGGCGGAATGCTCACGCACCTGCGGCAGCCGAGGTAAACAAAGTCATTATGAGAAAACCAGCCCAGCTTGATGGACAGACACTGACACTGGGAGCCACGTGTTTGACACCAGCGCCTCCTCTTGGCTCCACGCTAAACTCTGCATGAATACATTTGAATGTACTCAAATATTTAAGAGTACAGTGGATGTATTATACAGGGGAACGGCCGCTGCTCATTTTCTCTCATCAATAATGCATCCCATAATAATCTCATCGTATTAGCATTCTGTTGAATCTGCTGTTTTATTCCATCAACACAGGCAACAGTTACACTTTAATAATGTAATAACAGCCGCGGTTCAATTTAATTTATGACGCAGGTCGTTAATGATTCAGGGTCTGGGATTTAAAAGAAAGGATTTAATGTCACAGAACGGACAAAAACCTGTTGACATCAACCTTACGGTTCACGCCCCCCCCCCCCCCCCCCCCCCCCCCCCCCCCCCCCCCCCACCCCAACACACACACACTGTCACAGACCGTCTCTCACTTTAATCCCTGGGATTTAATCACAGCAAGTCGTTCTCACGCGTCGACAAAGACACTCGTCGTCATTAGGTGGAGACGGTGAAGCTGTGATATTTACCGCTCACACTCTGAGCGTTCTGCTGCGTCCATTTAAATTCTTGGTTGTCTTCTGCGTCTGCTGCCACAGCTCAGAGTCTTCGCACACGCAGGATCCTGCAGGAGGCTCATGAGGAGGGTCGCCCCTGTCCCAGCCAGCTCACCCAGACCAAGCCGTGTCCCATAAAGCCTTGCTACATGTGGCTGTTGACTGACTGGTCCCGGTGTGTGGTTGAGGTAAGATGATGTTTCTGATTCTGATACCGATGCAGGCCTGGTAATATTTATTTATTTATCTGTACAAACCACTGTATGAGAGTTATGAGATTAATTAAACGAGCTGCAATGCTGCCATCTAGTGACAGGGCACGCAATATGCAGCCGTTTATCCCCAAAACCATTTTTAGGGCACACGTCATTTGGTGGAACCCAATCGTTGAGTTATCGTTGAGTTATCGTTGAGTTATCGTTGAGTTATCGTTGAGTTATCGTGTTTTTATTATTGGAGTAAAGACGATAACGATTCTTACAGATATTACATGTTTTTTTTATTGGAGTAAAGACGATAACGATTTTTACAGATATTTCATCATTATGCTAACATCGGGCATATTATATTGATTGGTCGATGTTATCAGACATCCCTAATATAAATACATATATATAGTTGTGTAGAATTCTTATTTGAACATTACCAAAGACCCTGAGTTTCGTGCGTCCCTCTGCAGTGCCATAGGTCAGGCTTCTGATCAGACAGATGAATTCCACTTCGTCAGAAATGTCCACATCACTGATATGTCTCATGTGTATTTCAGGTATTGCAATTTTCCCGTCCGTGAGATATTTGTTGGTGTTCAGTCATTTTCAGCTTCATCTGATCTTTTAACCAAGACGTTCTGAATTTGTGTGCAGGGGGCTGAGTGTGGGGAGGGGCTTCGGAGAAGGAACCTGTCCTGTGTCGTCCACTGGGGGGACTGGCCTGAATCTCCCCCTCACAGAGTGGAGGACGAGCTGTGTGGAGACAGGAAGAAGCAGCAGATTCAACAGGAAATGGAACAGCCCTGCTTTGTCCCCTGTCCAGGTATGCTACAGCATAGCTTAGCATAGCATAGCATAGCATAGCATAGCATTGTGCAGCAAAATACAGTACAGTACAGTACAGTACAGTACAGTACAGTATAGTATAATAGTACAGTGCATGTAGTACAGTACAGTACAGTACAGTATAGTATAATAGTACAGTGCATGTAGTACAGTACAGTACAGTACAGTATAGTATGGTACAGTATACTATAGTATAATAGTACAGTACATGTAGTACAGTACAGTACAGTGCAGTACAGTACAGTACAGTATAGTACGGTACAGTATACTATAGTATAATAGTACAGTACATGTAGTACAGTACAGTACAGTGCAGTACAGTACAGTACAGTATAGTACGGTACAGTATACTATAGTATAATAGTACAGTACATGTAGTACAGTACAGTACAGTACAGTATAGTATAATAGTACAGTGCATGTAGTACAGTACAGTACAGTACAGTGCAGTACAGTACAGTACAGTATAGTACGGTACAGTATACTATAGTATACTAGTACAGTGCATGTCTTTGTGACCGTAATGATTGTTCCAAATATCTGGTTCTTCAAGGTTGTTTTTTTTATCATCGTTTTAATGATGGACACAGAAAAAAAACACAAAGATGAATTTCTGGATGGATCTGTGATGTCATGCTGTCACCATGGCAACAAGAACTCATTCATGTCTGACTGACAGGTCCTGCTCCTCTGTGGACTTTCTGCCACAACCACCCTTTAATGAGGGGCTTCAGTGGCATTACTGTACGTATGGAGCTAATGCTAATGCTAATGCTAAAGCTAAAGCTAAGGCTAAAGCTAGCTACACAGGAACGTGTGGGGAGTTTTTGGACATGATACAAACCACAGACGGAACTGCTTTGGCTCCTGTGGTGCCAGGAGAGGGCGCTCTAGTGTTGACAGTGAAGAGGCAGCAGATTGTTGTTACTGTTGGGACATTTTTCAGGTTTGAAGTTAGGATTAGCGTCAGTGTTATGGATTAGGATTACAAATGGATGTGTCATAGATTGTACCATGCAGTAGATGAAGTGCTCACAAAGTATAACAACCAGTGTAGCTGTGTGTGTGTGTGTGTGTGTATCTGTCGGCAGAGTCTTGAGGACCGGCTGAGGGCCGTGCACACGTGTGTGTGTGTGTGTGTGTGTGCTTCGCTGCATGCTGTGCATGGCGGCGTCCGTCGCAGCAGGTTCCTGTTGCCGCGGCAGCATGAAAGCAGCTGAAGATGAAAGATAATGAGATGCACGGGTCCACAGACAGCTGTTAATGACGCTGAGAGTGGAGCCTGAGTGGGTAGAGCAGCAGGTGATGTCATCAACAACACACACTCCTGTCAAGGATCCTAAACGTTGGTGTTTAATGTTTGACCTTCAAGGAACTGTGTGTGTGTGTGTGTGTTTGAAATGATTGGCATAACGTAAAACTCTCAGCGCGTGACGTCTGAGGTCTGAGGTCTGAGGTCTGAGGTCTGAATCAGGGCTCCAAGTCATTTTCCTTCTCCTCTAAATGTAGCGTTGAGCAGCAGTGATTAATACTGGGCTTTATTTCCTTCTAAGGAGACTGCCATTTGACTGACTGGTCCTTGTGGAGCTCCTGCCAGCTGACCTGCCTGGAGGGGCGGAGCTTCGAGACCACCGGTCGCCAGGCTCGCTCCAGAGCTGTGATCGTTCAGGTCATGGAGAACCAGGCCAGCTGCCCACACCAAGTCTTTGAAACCCGGCCCTGCAAAGGTAACGGTGACACGCGTCACCCTAGTGGAGAGAGCCAGATAAAAGTCAGCGTCCGTATGTTCAACTGAAGCAGTAAAGAGCGGAGAGTCGCCACATTTACCTCCTGAGCTCCATACAGCTTAATTGCCTCTTTTACCTCAGTTTCGTCCGCCGTCCCGCAACTTTATTGTTGTTTGTAATCAGAGACAGGAGGAAAAAAGCCAGAACACCCAGAGTTAGCTGATGTCTGCTGGACAAAGTGGGGCATTTTGCAGCGAAGAGCTAAATATTTCCCCCGGGACGTAGTGCAGTCCAGAGGAGCAGCGGAGAGGAGAGAGTGACTAATGGACTCACATTCATCATGTGGCCACGAACACGCCACCAAACCAAGGCTAATACGGCTGCGTTAGCGCCGGGTTTGTTAACAAACCATTTGTTAGCTGTGGCAGCTGAGTGTGTCAGGGTGGGTTAGCTGCAGTACCGACCCCCTCCACCAGTCCTCCTGTGCTCCTGCTCTTCACGGGCTGTGAGAACGTCCTGGGAATATTAATGTCAGAGTTTAAAGTAGAGCAGGGTCGAACTCAGGATACAACCTCATCAGATGTCAAGAAATCTTAACATCAACAACCTAAAAACAACTAAAAGTACAGGAGGTAAATCTTCATATTTAATGAAATATCACTTTACAAAACATTTCCTGAACATAAACAAGTGTTTTTGTTTTTTTAATTTATCCAGAGGGCCGGATTGAAACCCCAAGCGGGCCAGGTTTGGCCCACGGGCCGCATATTTGACACCCCAGAAGTAGAGCCTTGTTTTTCATAATGTGCCTCAGTCAAACTGTGTTTGAGCGTTTGGTTTTTTGAACAAACCCAAACATCAATGTTACCATTTTGCCACAGTTTCTAGATCAAAGCAGATCCTTTGAAAACTCCTCTTATTTTATTGTTTTGATAAATAAGAAAATGTGTTTCAGATGAACCTCCAGACTGGGTTATTTAGAATTTTTTTGTTTTTTTTGGTCTATTTTGGTAGTGTTGAATTTTGGTGAAAATGTTCTTTCTTTTTTTATATTCTTTATCTGTTCTTCATTAACATTATTTGTTAGAAACACGTCTCTTCTCAGTCTTTAATTAACTCCCTTTACTGCCTTCATGTGAAAGTTTCTCAAATTGCCCCTTTAAGGTGTTGCTCTCAGGAAAGAAGATCCTTCATTTAAAAATAAAATCTAAGGGGTGTCCAATTTCCACTGCCTCATCTCCAGAGATGTCACCCAGCCGCGCTGTCTAAAAAAACTTTTTCTATTTTCTATCAC